TAAATAGATGTGGGCAACACAGAAAAATCAAATATCTGAATTTGCACAAATCCATCTGGAAACAACAGTGGCATCCTGTGCAATGAAAGAGTACTCTACCTCAACTATCTGAAGAATTCATGGATAGGGAACTTCTGTTTCAAAATCAGAGAAATACGAATAGGAAAGGCAACTTTAAGATATATTTATCTTTTTCTCTGTCCCTGGAGATGCATGATACAGGGTATCACTATGCAAGTGAAGTTCAGCTTTCAGCGATAAGACAGTGGCTATGAGCAAGTTTTCTGCACACTATTTTTATTTTTCTTGTTTTGACATCTTCTACCAGTATGACCAACACCGATCCTCTGAATTTCCTGAAGCCACATGACAATTCTAGACAGAAGAGCTCAGTTGCCAAGTTATGTGTGAAGTCTCAGGGAACTAAAGCCACACAGTCTTTAAGTGTGTCCTGCAGGGACACAGAGGACTTCCAGTGAATGAAAAGATGTGGACAATCTGCTCACCACCCCCAGCCAGTTGGCTTCTGAACACAAATCTGAGCTTTCAATGACTGCCCCACAACCCATGAAATGAACTCCGACAAAAGGCTTGATGCAAGCAGCTTCCACTCCACCGCCTGTGGCCTGGGTTCTGGGGATGGAGGAAGCTGGGCCCTGGGTTCTAGGGATGGGCATAGGGTCTGAGAGGGGAAGAAGCAATGAATGCAGTAGAAGAGGAACAGAGGAAAAGGGGGTGGAGATTGAGGAGCAAGAAAGGAAGATAAAGAGAGGACACCCAGGTCAGAGTCAGTGCTATCTGGGCTTCTTGTGGTTTTGGGGGTCCCACCCAGAACCGCACAGACCTCAGCTCCGGGGGCGCGGGGCTGGGTGGGCCCCATGACTGTAGTCCTCAGGATTTTTCCCGTGCGCAGGAGGGAGCATCCAACCAACCAAGTGAAAGACAGCGCTAGGGTCAGAAATGGGGCTGGGCTTTGGGGGGTGCTGAAAGCAACTGACTGAAATTGCGAGATATGACACATAAATACATCAACCATAATACTGTTCCCTTCTTGGATGAATTATTTTAAAAAAACCTTCATGATTTTTACACACGATTCATTACATGTCTTGTTATGAATATTCTGAATGGGCAAAAATTACGCCCAATATTTACATGAAATATATTAAAGCTCATTCATAAAAGTTGTTTTTATAATTATAGCCTCCTTTTAAAGCACATTTTAACAACTTGCTTTGCTTATATATTGCAAGCTAAAATGAAGTGAATGAATCAAAATCTTACATTTATGCTTTGTTACACCACAAAATGGGAAGAAAAATTAGTAAACATCCAGCATATTATTGAGGATGAATGTTAATACACTTTTGCTAAAATATATGTATGATTTATGTCTATTTCATAATTTAAATTAGCTGCTTAATGATGCGTAGCTGCTATCTTCTCTTTATCCATTTACCAGTGCAATTTAATTTCAGGAAGAATCAAAGCATGTTTTCTAGGCTTGACTGAACATCCTTAGGAAAAAATGTCCTCAAAATGAGGAGGAAAGATGACAGGTAGTTCTCCACCTAAATCCACAGATTTTGATATTCTTAAATGGCACTCAGTGTCATTTCCACCAACATCCTCTCCTGAGAGATGGGTAAACCGTGCCACGGAGCCTTCAGCATGCTGTAAAATAGGATGCGCAAGGCAAGGCTGGGCCTTCCTGAGCGGCCAGAGGTAAAGGTTAGAGACCAGTGGGAGCTGGAGCTTTTTTTTTTTTTTTTTGTGAGACAGAGTCTTACTCTGTCACTCAGGCTGGAGTGCAGTGGTACGATCTTGGCTTACGACAACCTCCGCCTCCTGGGTTGAAGAGATTCTTGTGTATCAGCCTCCTGAGTAGCTGGTATGACAGGTGTGCACCACCATGTCTGGCTAATTTTTTGTATTTTTAGTAGAGACGGGGTGTCACCATGTTGGCCAGGCTGGTCTCGAACTTCTGGCCTCAAGAGATCTTGAGATCTTCACGGCCTTCCAAAGTGCTGGGATTACAGGCATTAGCCACTGTGCCCAGCCGAGCTGGAGATGTTTATTTGGTCATCATAGGAAATAGCTGCCTCTCAGTCACACTCATTCTTAAACACCTGTCATAAATTCAGAAGCAGGTGATGTAAGAGGAGTCATTTTGAATCTATAATTCACACGGACCTCAGTAGGAAAAGAAACCAGAGCACTTGGTGCAGCTCTGCCCTTCAGAGTATCTGGTGGTTTCAATTAAGGCCTGTGTGCTCAAGGCCCTGAGTTTTCTGTTAGCAGCAGACAAAATGCCTAAAAAAAATCAGCTGTCAAGTCCCAGCCCCAGTCCCTAGCCCAGGCAGAGTCCCACAGACCTGGGTCCAGCCCCCTCCCGGGACTATGAGCGACGTGGGAAGGGCGAGGTTGGAGGAGATGCTCAGGCTGCAGTCAGGCAGAGGGGGAAGGAATGGTTTTATTTATGCTGGGGGAAAACAAAGCGAATCCTTATAAGAAATAGGAAAGCAGCCGTTTCTTGACTATGACAGCTACCAGGCATAACTGATTAAATAGAAACACCCTCAAACTTCCCCAATTAACAACGCCTTTAACCTTTCCATCTTTTCTTCACAACCTACCAAGTGACAGCCTCCCCATTCTTTCCGGGCTGGAAATTTGGTCTTACATGGAAAGGATGACCTTCAAATTGGTGACGAAGTGGAGACAAGAAAGGGACATGACAGAATCAGGGAGCCCAGTTAATTTACAAGGTAGAACAGTATCCCTGGAACAACCAGCAATGGCTGTATCTCTCCAAACTCATGAGCGGTTGAGGGAACCACCTACAAGCAGACTGGACGGAACTTTGGGAGGGACGTAGATAAGACTTACTCCTGGGGAGAGGGGACAGACAAAGCCCTGCTCCTCCAGGACAGTGCTCACGACCACCGGGCAGCTTCCTGGCTGGAATGAGGGAGAAGACCCCAGGGAAGAAGTCAAGACATCTTTATCTAACTCATGGCCGCAAAGGCAGACTCCTGGGGACAGAAGGCGTGCTTGGCCAGCAACACCAGTAAGAGCCCTTCAGCAAGTTCCCGAGAACCCTCTGGCCCCACTTCCTCCACCTATTGGCCACGCCACGGCAGACAGAGCTCCTGAACACGCACCATCAAGCGGTCCTGGCTTTGGTCTGTTCCTCCTGGTCATGTGGAAGGCTAGCAGGACTGGACAGGCCAGTGGGTGGGCAGGCAGTGTCGCACATTAAGGACTGGCATCTACGTCCCTGGATGACACAGAGTCCTACGTCCGAGAGCGACAGTGTTGTTGCTGGTCCCTCCTCACTCCGCGGCTACCTGGACTGGCTGGTTCACTTCCATGAAATCAAGCCAGCCCCATCAAGACACTCGCTCTGATTTATGCCCTATCGTAGTTATTAGAAGTTACCCTTTCCATTTTTTTCTTTTCTACAAGGGGCAAATTCCCTTAGTCAGAGGAATAAACAATTTTAATACCAGTGAGACTAAAGGTCAAAAAATATTTTATACTAAAAATGATAAAAATCTCCATCAATTCTGGGATAACTCAGAGTAATATGGACCAATTCCCTCCCGTCCTACCTGGAGGAAGGTAAAGATGATAAAGGAGAGAGCATGGGGAATAAAGAAAGCCGGCGTCTGCATTTGTTCCTATGCCCCTCCAAAGAAACAGAGCTGAGTTTTAAGCAAAAAACAACACACAAAGAAGATGAAAGATGTGTTTTTACTTCTAGCCTTTTTAGTTCATGTATTTACTTACTAGTATCAACTAAGTTAAATAGAATGTTTATTTACTTTTTCTGAGCCTTCTATAGGAATTATTATTTTATTATTAATCAGGCCTTTGCATCTCTTGTACTGCTGGTTTTAAATATTTTCTACCTCCAATCAGGCTCTGCATTTCCTGACACCTAGGACCATTCTCCGTAGCTCCACTGCCGCAGTCAACAAATGCTGACAATCGAGCCTGCAAAACGCAGCAGTGTGAGACTTTCTCACGTCACTGATACGTTCAGAAGAGAGTAAGAAAACCAGCAAATACAGCTGGTACTAGAGAGCAGCCACTATTCCAAGCAGCTTACACACGACATCATTTAATCTTCAGGACAATCCAGGAAGCAAGCAGGACTGGCATATCTGTTTTACCGATAAGGACACTGGGGCACAGAGAGGTCAGATAACTCCCCCAAGGCTACACGAGTCAGTGGGGGTACCAGGATGTAACTGGGGATGCCTGACAACAGGGCCTGGGCTTTCAACAGCTGCTTACACCACCCTCATGAGACATCCTGCCAGGACTGTTTTCTATTTAAGAACATATGAGGGGCTTCAAACATATTTATAAGGTTCTCCACCAAGAGACACACATTGCACAAGGCTCCCAGTGCTGCAGAAGGCTCTCCGTAACCCGTCTTCTCCCTTCCCAACTGTTGATTTCCTGTCACTCTCCTAGAACTACCCTATGCTATAGCCTAGTGTTTTCCAAACCATGGTCGTGACTGTGACCCAAAGGGTGAGTCACAACCAGATTTTTAAAATAAATTAAATAAGAATAGAGACGAATGGAAAATGTCACGGCGTGTGCCACATGGCACGGACGCGTTTGGTTTCACTGCTCTGCTTCTCTGTGCATCAGGCCCCGAGATGGGACGGTTCTTCCCTGTGGAGCACAGCTCAGACGTCTACCACCCGGGCCCTGCACCACATCATGCTGCCTTGACAGAGCAGGTGCTAGATACACGGCTGCTAAACGTACAGACAGACGCACCAGGGAGCACCTCCAGGTCAGTGTTTCGGTAAATCTGAGTGGGAGCATTCTGTAAGTCAAGGCTTGTTGCTAGGTACTTATCTGATTTTTTTCAAGACTGGATAAATAAGGAAAACTGAGGCTGCCAAATTATGTATAAATCAAAGCAAACCAGAGCAAAACACATACAAATGTACAAATATTAAATACCATGGCCTTACCCCTGCGCCCAGGGTACACGTGTGGGTAGTACTCGTAATAAAGATCTGGCTGATCAAGATTTCCAAAGGGTTCAAATTCCATCTCAGCATTCTGGAAAAGGCCCAACTTCACTAGTAGTGCCAGCCTCACAAACCAGAGCTGAAAACAAAATACAATGGAAACAATAGGTTATCTATATGTATCCAGTTCAGAAATTGCTATTCCGTATGAAGTGGGTTGTTAAGAGATTAATTTCTCATATATTAAAATAAGGGCTAACCTAACTTCCTATCTTTGCATATTTACAAAATTGTGTTTAAAAAAGCAGAACGTGGTCACTCTGCGAGGTGAGGTCATGAAAAATAAAATCCGACATTTGAAACATGCTGAATATTTAATTCTGAGATATCACTCATGCCTGCAGTTCCAGCTACTTGGGAGGCTGAGGTGGGAGGATCGCTTGAGCCCAGCAGTTTGAGCACAGCCTGGACAACATAGCGAGACCCTGTCTCTAAAAAAAAATTACTATTGAGCTTCATAACAATGTGAATGGTTTTACATAACTGTCTACTCAGTACGTAAACACTGCTTACTCAGCAGGTGTGTGCAAAGCACTGTGCTAGGTGTCATGAGATGGAAAGGCACCAAAGGAATGCGCCGCCTAGTGGAGGGCGGGGGAATGACGGCGGGAACAGGAGCAGAAGCGCTGGAATGGGTTGTGTTTGAGGGCAGCTCTCAGGGCTGCGGAGTTTCAAGGGGCCACAGGCTAAGGAAGGGTCTGCTCGTTCAGGGAACGTAAGGACAAAGGCACAGAGTGGACAAAACATGACGTAGGAGAGCACGGCGTGCTCTGGCAGCATCTGGGGTACCTTCAGGAAAACGGTGGGAATTTGCATTAGAGAGCTGCACAGCCAGAGACTTGGGATTAAAAGGGGAACCTAATGTGATCTGACTTTACTGATGAGAAGAATGAATTTCACCAAGTGTCCGCTGAGGGATGAATGGATAAAGGAACGTGGCACGACACACAATGGATACCACTCAGCTTTCATGGGGGAAATCCCGTTGTGATGTGGATGAGCCTGGGGGACATGACGTTAGATGAAACAAGCCAAGCACAGAAAGACAAACAGCGCCGGACCTCACTTACACGTGGAATCTGAAAACACTGGGCTCACAGACGCAGAGGAGATGGCGGGTGCCGGGGCTGGGGGTGGGGAGGAGGGCAGGGCAGCAGAGGTGTGAGAGATGTTAGTCAAAGGAAACAAAATTCAGTGAGACAGGAGGAATAAGCTCAAGAGATCTATTGTAGACACGGTGACCACAGTTACAAACAACGTATACTAAAAATTGCTAAGACAGATTTTCAGTGTTCTCGTTATACACACACACACACACACACACGAGAAGATGAAATTTTGCATGGTAGGCAATGGGAAACTATCCAGCTCTTGACTAGCTCCGTTTCAGACCTAGTTGGAAAGGAGGGTGGTTTACCCTCTTTAGGCAGCCTGGTGGTCCCTGGCTCCCAGGAGGTCACCATATTGGTCTTGAGCTAGTGCCAACACGTGATCGGCAAAGTGCACTACGGCCCAGAACTCCTGGGCCCAAGTGACCCTCCTGCCTCAGTCTCCCCAGTAGCTGGGGCCACAGTCATGTGCCACTGCGCTGGGCAGTTTTCAAGCAGGAAAGTGAGATGATCAAAAGTGTGCTTTAAGAGTTTTTTGGAGGTAGTTGATGGAATGAATGGGAATAAAGAAACCTGAACTAAGTTCATATAGGAGGCTAAAGCAACACTGCAATGAGAGCTTGAACTGCGGGTGGTGATGGGTTGGAGAGAAATGATAGAAAAACAGCCTAGGATTTGGCAAACCAGTGGATGGACAGGTGATGGGGGAAAGCAGCTCTTCTTGTCGGCTCTTGCGGGAAGAGGAAGAAGGAGGAGGAGCCTGCTGGAAACAGCTAAGCTGTCAGGGCTCCCCAGAGCTGCTCCTTTCAAAAGCTCATCCCAGTTCTGAAGGATCTGGTGATCTGTTTAGTCCCGGGGGACTCCCATGTAAGCTAGAAGAACAGTTGAAAAACTCCCCAGGGAAAGGTAAGAATTTATCAACGTTTGCAGCTGTTCCTTCTTCTCAGATGAGTTTCCTTTTGTTCACAAGTCTATTTTGTGCATTCCTTTTTTTTTAAATTTCAGAGCAAGTGATATGCCAGGAGGAGCAAACCCATGGCACATGGACCCTCCGTCCTTGGGGTGGAAAGAACCAACTGCTCCTGTCACTGTTTCCTACCGGGCTCAGACATGCCCCAGATCCCCGCACAGGCCAGCTGCTGCTGCCAGTCGTGAGGCGAACCTGCCTGCTGACCCAAAGCCATGCTGGTCCCACCATGAGACTAAGTGTGGGCACCTGTGAGTGTGCTTCTGGGGCGCACAGGCGTCCTGATGGGCCAAAGTGAGAATTCCAGTGCCCCAGTATAGTATATACAATATAATTAGGAGATAAAGAAGCAGGATATGAAAATATACTTTTTGTTACTGGCATGAAAGGCCATGGTCCTGTCCATGTCCCCAAACTGTGACAAGCTAGGTTAAACTACAGCCCGTGAAAGGTGTTCTCACCTGCAGTGAATCTGTCGTGTGGCTGGTGGGCAGCCCGCTCTTGCCGTAGCCCTGGCCGTGGGCTGTGAGGAGACGTCCGCACAGGTCCACTGCTGCCCTCCAGTTTCTGCAGCTCTGCAAGACATGGCAGAACATGTGACCAAACACACATGCAAGGCATGGTGGAATCCATGACCCAAACGCATAGCCACTGGCCACAGCTGCTCACCTTGCTGGAAGCAGCGCCAGCCAGCCATTAGTAATCATGACAAGGCCAGTGTGCTGGCAGCACGGAGGGGAATGCCATTTGTCAACGCTGCACGTGTAATTAGGCAATAAGAGAGCCAAGCGTGAGATACAGTTTGAGCTGATCAAATCATAAAACACTAACATTTAGCAACTGATAGAGCATCGGGAAGAGGCTTTTTATTGGAAAGCTCCGCATCTCTCCCAATCTATATGACTGGCGTCCTTTTTAGCAGGATTGTCTTGAGATTTGTCAATTTAAAATCAATAAGGAAATTTTATGCTATGTGTTGGACATATGTATTTGTATCTGTAAGATCCGCATGTGACTATAAAATAAGTGGCTTTATATGTTCATAATTCTAATTTATCAATATGAAAAAATCAATGAACTATGTGAACACAACATGTTCCAGGCCCATGTGGCAATGCACGACATACTTTCACATCGCGTAACGTTACGGCTTCAACACGGAAAGGCTGGCTGGTACCGCCACGCTGGCTGATTCGTATAGACTCCTGTGTTTATCTTTGCCCTTGTGCAAGGCAGAAAGGACAGCTGTTAGAGAAATGAATGGGAAAATAAGGTCGGAATGTTTAAACCTTTTAAGAAGCTAACAGTGGATGCTCACTCTGTCTTTTCTCAAGGTAATGGGCACTATCTTTGAATACTGTAGATGTCCTCATTTCTGCACAGTCAATAAACATGCTTTAAGTACTTCCTGTCTGACAAAGACTGCAAGGCTGGCGGGGAGGTTAGTGAACGAGCACTCATTAGTGGATGATCTAGCAAGGGAGACAGACAATTAAACAATATGTTTCTCAAGAATTAGCTAAATGATTTTATGTGCATGCCAAGCACTTCTCTGACAAGAAGTGTAGGAGTTTACATATTTTAAACATGTGTGGTAAAGCCTGCCACACACGTCTTCTGTGTACTAGCTCACACACGCACTGCTCCCTCTCCACACCTCCTGCCCTCCACGCCCGGACAGAGAACTCAGGGCCTGCTCACGAAGCGCCTAGGAGGGAAATGAGTGTCAGCTTTGCACTACGGTTGTTCTGCAGTCTTTTATTTGGGCTTCCTCAGGCAGGAGCTAACGACCTGCTCTAATTCCAGCTGCAGTGGGGGCGGGGGCTGTGTTGCAGGCAGGAGACTGGGGCTTGTGTCTTCCGGGGCTCTGACATGTGGCCTCACACTCACACTGCAGGCTCAGCAATGGCTGAGTTTACAGAGCTGAGGTCATCTGTCCCACCTTACAGATGTGACAATTAAATAAGATATATGAAAGTGCTGAACACAGAGCCAGGCAGGAGGGAGGCATTAAAAATGTGAACGATGCTGTTAAAAATTCCCAAACTGTTTCTACATCATTCCAGAGTTGGCGTGTGCGTGCCCAGTGAAACTCTATGTGTGAGGGAAGGAACTGGTGCTGGGCCCGGAGCTTCAGACAGGCCAGGCTCTATCAGCGAGCAGTCGTGTGACCTGGCGCTGCAGACATCTCAGCTTCCTCCAGGTCTTCTCAGGGGTTGATAGTTCGTTTTTTAAAAATGCTGAACATTCTACTGTCCAGATTACCAGTTTGTTTACCCACTGACCTATTGAAGGACCTCTTGGTTGCCTCTAGTTTTTGGTAACTATGGATAAAGCTGGCATCAACATCTTTGGGCAGATTCTTGTGTGGATACAAGCATTCGGCACAACTGGGTGAGATATCCAGGAGCGGAATGCAGTAACCGGAGTGCTGGGTTGTATGTCAGAGTGCGTTTAGTGTTGCAGGAGTCACCAAGCCAGCAAGTCACCTCCTAAGTGGCCGCGCCACCTTTGCCTTCCCCAGCAGCGAGGGGTCCTGCGGTTGCACATCCCATGGCACTTGGTGGTGTCTGTGCTCTGTTTTTCAGTCACTCCAACTAGCATGCGTTTCACTGTCTGGTGAACTTTCCACCGTTCTCTCACAGAGTTTCTCCTTTCACTGTACCTGCCACAGCCTGATGGTGAGTACTAGCCTCCATGGCACCAACCAGCGAGCTGCAAATATTAGCAGGACAACTCAGATTTCTTAAAATATATCTTGTAGCCTTTTTTTTTTTTGGAAAGGAGGAGACCAGAGCATTCATTGTGCAGTTGGAGTCTGTGGTTTTCTTCACTAGCTGGTGCGCAGCCACTGGACCCAGTCAGAGAACCACTGATTGATGGTGAAGATGAAATCGGTGCCACATTCCCCCAAACTGTCCACACTACAGCAAGTAACACAGGATTTCTGTGTTCTGGTTGACAGTTCAGAAATATTTTTAGATTGGTTAAGATAATTTACTAAAACGATCTCCAAATGCCTTCTCTAGTCTAAATTCAATGCAATAATCACTTTATATAATACAAATGGCTCTGTATATTCTCTTTGAATTGCAAATGTGAACGAGTGAGAGGCAAAGAGACTGTGCCAAGTCTGAACCAGTTCTATATATGCATCTAGGCAGACTCTGTATCCAGGGGCAACTAATAACTGCTCCCTTCCCGGCTCCCTACGCCTAAGGCTCTGGCCTGTCCTGCTAGAGAGGCTGGGGCCCTCTTCCCTCAGGACATGCCCTCGGTGAGGACGGGCAGGAGTTAATCAGGGAGGAGGAGGGGGGAGAGACCCTCGAAGAGGACAGAATGTGTGCAAAGCCTGGTGAGAGCAGGCACGGGGGGCACAGGGAGCAGAGGGCAGGGTGCAGGGCCCGAGGGGATGCAGTAAGGACCAGGTGGCCGGAGGCAGGAGGTGGGGGGGGCCGGGCCAGTGAGGATGAGGGGAGGCTGGGGAAGCAGGTGAGGACGGGTGGCACAGGAGGGGACTGGGAGGGAGGCTGGGGAAGCAGGTGAGGGCGGGTGGCACAGGAGGGGAGGCTGGGGAAGCAGGTGAGGACGGGTGGCACAGGAGGGGAGGCTGGGGGAAGCAGGTGAGGCGGGTGGCTGGGAGGCTGGGGAAGCAGGTGAGGCGGGTAGCACAGGAGGGGAGGCTGGGAAGCAGGTGAGGCGCGGGTGGCACAGGAGGGAGGAGGCTGGGAAGCAGGTGGCAGGGGACGGGTGGCACGGGAGGAGGCAGAGGAGGGTTGGGTGTGCTGGCCTTTGAGCTTCTAAGAACACAGGCCACAGCATCTGGAAGGCCCCAGTCTCCCTGCACTGATAGGGTGAACTTAAAGCGTCTGTGTAGATGTGAGTAAAGCTATGAAGAGGATGTTCGGTAGCTGGGCCTGGTGTGTAATCTGTGCACATCACGTGAGCCCCACCCTAAACGTGGCACAGGAGGGGAGGCTGGGGAAGCAGGTGAGGACGGGTGGCACGGGAGGGGAGGCAGAGGAGGGTTGGGTGTGCTGGCCTTTGCAGGCTTCTAAGAACACAGGCCACAGCATCTGAAGGCCCCAGTCTCCCTGCACTGATGGGGTGAACTTAAGGCGTCTGTGTAGATGTGAGTAAAGCTATGAAGAGGATGTTCCGGTAGCTGGGCCTGGTGCTGGCAATCTGTGCACATCCTGTGGACGCCCCCCACCCCCTACTGCCTGAGTTGGTGGGCAGAGCTCACAGGAGCCCAGAGGCCCGCCTCCTGTGCACCTGCACGGTGAGAAGGTTCTGTGCTACCACGGAAGAGCTAGGCATGCACGACAGAGCTCAGTAGCTGGACAGATACCGTATGGCCAGGAAGTCTACGACGTTCACTCCGTGACCTTTTACAGAAAACGCTGGCGGGTCCCAGGTCTCGGCCCCTCGGGCTCAGTAGTTCATTTCTGTCGACTTCAAGGACCACTGTGGGCTGACGTTAGCCCCCAAGTGGCTTGTGACTGATAACCGAGGACGAGGCACAGGAACGGAGATGCTCCTGCAGTCACGTGACAGAGAACTTTACGTGTACGGCACGCCGTGATGACAAAGCAGGGGACTGCATTTGGCATGTGTTTTCCATTTCATTCTTTCATGACTGATTACTGTGAATTAGTTATTATTTATACTGATGGTGCAGAGTGGCAGAAGCAGGTGAGTATTTGTCCAGAGGGTCAGTGAGCAGACGTCGCCAGGAGGCAGCCTGCAGAGGAACTCAACATCCGGCAGGTTCCAGGTAAAGCCATTAGCAGCTTTGTTGAGAGCTGGTTGGCTTGGAATCAGACGAGAATAAGATTTGTGGAAAGGCCAGGCGTGGTGGCTCACGCCTGTAATCCTAGCACACTGGCAGGCTGAGTCAGGCAGATTGCTTGAGCTTAGGAGCTCACAAAGGGCAACGTGGTGAAACCCTGTCTCTATAAAACAAAAACGAGCTGTGTGTGGTGGCATGCATCTGTAGTCCCAGCTACCTGGGAGGCTGCGGTGGAAGGATCATCTGAGCCCAGGAGGCTGAGACTGCAGTGACCTGAAATCATGACACTGTACTCCAGTCCGGCGACAAGACTGAGAACCTGTCTTAAAAAAAAAAAAAAAAAAAAAAAATCTGTGGAAACTAAGGAGAGGGAAGCAGAGAGGTGGGCAGCTGTACAGTCCGCGACAAGACTGAGAACCCTGTCTTAAAAAAAAAAAAAAAAAAATCTAGGGAAACCAAGGAGAGGGAAGCAGAGAGGTGGGCAGCTGTAGGAATCTGTGGAAACTAAGCAGAGGGAAGCAGAGAGGTGGGCAGCTGTAGGAATCTGTGGAAACTAAGGAGAGGGAAGCAGAGAGGTGGGCAGCTGTAGGAACCTCCAGGGAAGTCGGCACGACCAGGGTGCCAGGGGAGGAAAGGCCGACAGCGGCCGCAGATGGTGAGACACTCTGTGTCTGTGTTTAAGCAAGTGCTTGGGTGTGTGAAAACACAGCGGAGGAGGCTGTGGCTGGAGAACAGATGATTACACATTAGGAAGAAAGGATGACCCATGGCTCAAGGTTCCAG